TCAAAAAAAAAAAAAAAAAAAATCAAACTGGCCGGGTGCAGTGGCTCAAGCCTGTAATCCCAGCACTTTGAGAGACCGATGTGAGAGGATTGCCTGAGCCCAGGTGTTCGAGACCAGCCCGGGCAACTTGGCAAGAACTTCTCTCTACAATAAACCAAAATCTTAGCTGAGCGACAGAGGGAGACTCTGACTCAAAAAAGAAAAAAACGTCATCAAATTTGTAATAGTTAAATGTGGTTTGTCTTTATCCACATGCAGTTTACTGTCTTCCTTTTTCACTCAGGTCCAAGCTCTCTGCCCATAATGTTGAAGCCACAGCTGCCATAGCCCACCAGCAGTACACAGTGGTGTACTGGCTTTGGAAGGAGTGGTGAGGCTAGAGGTTGGATTGGACCAGGGTAACCCCTTATTATTTTTTTTGAGTTGGAGTCTCACTCTGTCGCCCAGACTGGAGTGCAGTGGCCGCTCCCAGCCACCGCAGCCTCGACCTGCTGGGCTCCGGCGATCCTTCCGCCTCAGCCTTCTGAGTAGCCGGAATTACAGGCATGCGCCACCACGCCCGGCTGATTTTTTGATTTATTGTAGAGATGAGGTCTTGCTGCCCAGGCGGGTCTCTAGCCCACGGGCTCAGGCAATCCACTCACCTCAGCCTCCCAAAGGTGTGCGGGATTACAGGCTGAACCACCGAGCCCGGCATCCCTTATTCTTGAGTAAAAAAGGAGATGGTTACAGATTCACTAATAAACCAGCTGTAGTGACTTCTCAAGTCTGACTGGAGAAACTCAGTAGTGGTCTCCTAACCCCTGACTACTTCCAGCCTGCTTTTTATATTCCAGGAGTATTGGGTATACCAAAAACATAGACGTATTTCCTGGTTTTGCTTTTAATTATTCTGCCCAGTCCTCCTCATTCTCCTGTCTGATTACCCTTTTTCTTGTCCCCCTCTTGAATGTGCCCAGCACCTCTGGTTGTATTTGTACTTATTAACTTTGAATAATCTTCTACTTCTGAGTGAGTTCTTTCTCCTACAAACCCAATGAGTCCCCTCTTTAGCAATTGGAGTAGCACCTGATTGCTCTTAGATAAAAACCAGACTCCTAAGGCCAGGCCCCTCTTGGCCTCATTGATTGTTACCACACGCACACACGCGCACACACACAGCATCTCTAGTTACAGGTGTAAATCTGGATGAATTGGAGCTCCTCTGTAGCCTAGGCAATTTCTGTAGTTTAACAGCAAATGGCTAGAAGCCTTTCTCTGATCTTCTTAGATTGGGTTGTCAATGGTTCTCAGCCAGGAACAGTTTTACCCCTGGTGGGCGTTTGGCAATGTCTGGAGACAATGGTTTTGCTTGTCTACTTGAGGGAGTTTGCTCTTGGCATCTAGTGAGTGGAGGCCTCCTGAGTTTCTGATTTATGTCTGGGGTAGGACCTGAAATTTTGCATTTTCAGCTAGCCGGGCCCAGGACCACAGTGAGAACCACTCCTTATACAGATTCCCCAAGGTTGCATGATGGTGGGAAAAGAAGGTGGGGAATTTGTTAAGCATTAAGTGAGACCAAAGCACATGAAAGTACCTAGCATATAAGTGCTCAGGCAGCGTGAGCTGAATCTCTTTTCAGTCTCTTCCAGTTTGGAGTCTTATTCCTTTAGTGGTGTACTGAGACTATACTGGTAGCATAATCCGGCAGAATCAGTCACACCTTGTACTCTGACGTTTGATATTAATTGACTACAGTGGCTTTAACCATTTTTAAAGTGTAGTGAGTTTGGTCTGCCTTGGGCTTGTAGGAGAATAGGCCCCTAAAGCTGTGACCTGTTTTTTCCTTCACAGGTATCTCCTTGCTGATCATGTACTCACAATTTCCTTTTGTTGAGCATTCTCAGAGTGATTTTGTTTCTTTTTTTCCCTTTTTAGGAGCAAAATGTTACCCTTTTGTTTATACTGCCTCCTTCCATATGAGTACCCCTTTGGCCAAAGAAGATTATTACCAGATATTAGGAGTGCCCCGAAATGCCAGCCAGAAAGAAATCAAGAAAGCCTATTACCAGGTCTGTATGGAAGTCAGGTCTTAGTGACAAGATTGTAGAAGGAATGCTATTGGTCTAGTCTTGCCTGATCAGTACAATGTATATGTCTATACAGATAGCTGTCATGCAACTGATGATTATAGAATGATGTGATAAACTTGGACTTTGCTCAACTGTGTTATTCAGTGTTACAATGCTGTAGTGGTTAACACTTCAGAAAAAAGAGGAAAGACCAAAGCAAAGATTTTAAGGTTTTTTCCGGAGTTACTTTTATAATTAAATCTATTTTGTACCTTCTGAATTAGTAGGTATGCTGGTCTGAGTTTTAGCTAGTCATTCTTTGCATTCAAATTCATGTTTATAGCTGGGCTCAGTGGCTCAGCCTGTAATCCTGCGCCTTGGGAGGCTGAGGTGAGTGAATTGCCTGAACCCACGGGTTCGAGACCCGCCCGGGCAATTTGGCGAGACCTCATCTCTATAATAAATCAAAAAATTAGCCGGGCGTGGTAGTGCGCACCTGTAGTTCAGCTACTTGGAAGGCTGAGGCAGAAGGATCGCCGGAGCCCAGCAGGTCGAGGCTGCGTTGGCCAGGAGCAGCCACTCCCCCCCAGTTTGGGCGACAGAATGAGACTCCAACTCAAAAAAAAAAAAAAAAAATTCATGTTTATAGGTTTATAATTATTTCCTTTCCTAACCTAGAAAATGTGAAATTCCTGTTGTCATGTCCCAGAACGTATATGGGTAGCTAGGGTAGCTAAGTAAAGTAGTATATATGATGTCCAGACTAGTGGTTCCCAGACTCTTGGTGCGCTCTGACAGATAAATATTGGGGACACCAGTGTAGGACTGACAGCCCTTTTTTTTTTTTTTTTTTTTTTTTTGAGGCAGAGTCTTACTCTGTTGCCCAAGGCTGGAGTGTGTAATGGCCCACTCCCAGCCATCCCAGCGTCAACCTACTGGGCGGAGGAGGTCCTTCCACCTCAGTCTTCCAAGTAGCCGGACCTACAGGTGTGTGCTACCACGCCTGGCTAATTTTTTGATATATTGTAGAGACAAGGTCTCGCCAAGTTGCCCAGGCTGGTCTTGAATTCCTGGGCTCAGGCAATCCTCTTGCCTCGGCCTCCCAAAGTGCTGGGATTATAGGCTTGAGCCACTGTGCCCAGCCCTGACAGCTTTTTGTAAGTGAACAATTCACTGGAGTTGTGCAACTATCATCACAATAAATTTTAGAATGTTTTCATCACCTTAGCAAGAAGCCCCATGTCCATTAGCACTCATTGCCCATTGTCCTGTCCCCTGCATCCCTGGCGACCACTAATATATTTTCTGTCTTAATGATTTTCCCCGTTCTGGGTCTTTCATATAAATGGAATCACACAATATATATCCTTTTGTACTGACTTCTTTCATTCAGCATAGTGTTTTCAAGGTTCAGCTATGTTGTAGTGCGTGTCAGTGCTCCATTCCTTTTTATGGTCAAATGATAGTCCATTGCATGAATAGATTACATTTTGTTTATTCGTTCATCATTTGATAGACATTTGGGTTTTTTCCACTTTTTGGCTGTTATGAACAGTGTTGCTGTAAGTATTGTTGTGTGTATCTTTGTGCAGACATATGTTTTTATTTCTCTAAGTATATACTTAGGGGTATAGTTGCTGAGTCGTATGGCAGCTGGATGTTTAATTTTTGAAAAAAGTTGGCAGCCCTCTTCAAAGTGGCCACACCATTTTACATTGTTACCAGCAGTGTACTAGGGCTGCAGTTTCTCCATACTCTGGTAACCGCTTGTTATTAATTATATAGGTGTGTATGTGTGTATATACATATATATTTGAGTTGGAGTCTCATTCTGTCGCCTAGACTGGAGTGCACTGGCAAGGTCCCAGCCACTGCAGCCTCGACCTGCTGGGCTCTGGCAGTCCTTCTGCCTCAGTCTTCCAAGTAGCTGGAACTACAGGCGCACACTACCATACCCGGCTAATTTTGGTTTATAATAGGGACAAGGTCTCACCAAGTTGCCCAGGCCGGTCTTGAACCCACAGGCTCCCGAAGTGCTGGGATTACAGGCTGCATAGGAAGTGCTGTCTCATTGTGGTTTTGATTTGGTTTTCCCTAGTGATTAATGATGCTGAGCATTGTTTCATGTGTTTTTTGGCCATTGTATATCTTTTTTTGGTTAAATGTGTATTCAGATTCTTTTTTTGCGTCCGAGTCTCACTCTGTCACCCAGGCTGGAGTGCAGTGGCACGCTCCAGGCCACCACAGCCTCAACCTGCTGGACTCTGGCAATTCTTCCGCCTCAGCCTTCCAGGTAGCTGGAATTACAGGCGTGCGCTACCACACCCAGCTAATTTTTGTTTTATTGTAGAGATGAGATCTTACCAAGTTGCCCAGACGGGTCTTCAACCCACGGGCTCAGGCAATCCACTCACCTCAGCCTCCCAAAGTGCTGGAATTACAGGCTGAGCCACCGAGCCCGGCTTGTATATACTTTCAAGAATAATTTATACAGCAGAGTCATCTATTTATCCAGTCATCTTTCCCCTTTTGACATAAATGTTAGTATATCAGACACAGTATTTTGTACCTTGCTTTCATAAAGGTGCCCAGGTTCTAAAGAATTGGTCATTATCATTATCATTATTATTATTTTGGGTCAGAGTCTCACTCTGTCGCCCATCTTGGAGTACAGTGGTACAATCATGCCTCACCATAGCCTCGACCTTCTGGGTGCAGGTAATCCTTCTGCTTCAGTTTCCCATGTAGCTGGGACTACAGTTGTGTACCACCACGCCCAGCTAGTTTTTAAGTTTTTTTGTAGAAATTGAGGTCTTGCTTTGTTGCCTAGGATGGTCTTGAATTCCTGGGCTCAAGCAGTCCTCCTCTTGCCTTGGCATCTCAAAGTTCTGGGATTACAGGCATGAGCCACCATGCCCAGCTTTAGCTGTCGTTGTTGTTATTTATTTATTTATTTATTTATTTATTTTTTGAGTTGGATCTCCGTCGCCCAGTCTGGAGTGCAATGGCACACTCATGGCCACCCCAGCATCTACCTTCTGGGCTCCAGCAACCCTTCCGCCTCAGCCTTCCAAGTAGCCAGAACTACAGGTGTGTGCTACCACACCTGGCTAATTTTTTATTTATTGTAGAGATGAGGTCTCGTCAAGTTGCCCAGCTGATCTCAAACCCGTGAACTCAGGCAGTCCTCTCACCTCGGCCTCCCAAAGTGCTGGGATTACAGGCTGAACCACCGAGCCTGACATATTTATTTAATTTTTTGAGTCAGAGTCTCAATCTGTCAGCTAGGCTGAAGTTCAGTGGCACAATCACAGCTACTGCAGCCTCAACTTGCTGGACTCAGGTGATCCTTCTGCCTCAGCCTTCTAAGTAACTGGGACTACAGGCGAGTGCCACCGTGCCCAGCTAATTGTTTCATTTATTGTAGAGACAAGGTCTCACTGAGTTCCCAGATTGGTCTCATATCCCTGGGCTCAGGCAATCCTTTAGATGTTATTTTTGTTAGAGATTTATTGTGCTTGAAAAATGTATATATCAGATTTGATGAAACTATTTAAAGTCTTGAATCTTGTTTTAAGAATTGCTGCCGGGCTTGGTGACTCAGCCTGTAATCCTGTGCTTTGGGAGCCTGCGGGTTCGAGACCCACCTGGGCAACTTGGTGAGACCTCATCTCTACAATAAAGCAAAAAATTAGTCGGGCGTGGTAGTACGTGCCTGTAGTTCCAGCTACTTGGAAGGCTGAGGCGGAAGGATTGCTGGAGCCCAGCAGGTCGAGGCTGCAGTGCCGGGAGCGGCCACTGCACTCCCGTCTGGGCGACTGAGTGAGACTCCAACTAAAAAAAAAAAAAAAAAGAATTGCTATAAAGCTTCCCAGATAATTCAGACTTGTAGCTGGATTTGGGAACTCCTGGTTTTATTTATTAATTCAGCCCTTATTTGATGCCTCCACCCCAGGGCATTGCTACCAGGTAGGGATGATGGCTGTTGTTAAAGTAGAAGCACATGATCACCCTGGAATAATTTCCAGTGTAATCAGGGGACAAAGCATGCATCTATGAAATAACGTTGATCAATTTCAGAGTTATCTGAAAGTGGACCTTCCCAGACTCTCTCCTCCTGAAGGAGTGGAGTTAGGTACAGAGTAGGTTCACAGGAATAGACAGCCCCAACTCAGTTGCTAAGAACAGCCTCAACTCAGTTGCTAAGTATTAAGAGCGACAATTGTTATAAAGGAGGCATAATTGTGACTGGTATTTGGGGTTCTGTTTCAGTAAGCATCGTGTGTCCAAAGTAGTTTACTATTTTTTTCCTTAGCTTGCCAAGAAATATCACCCTGACACGAATAAGGATGATCCCAAAGCCAAGGAGAAGTTCTCTCAGCTAGCAGAAGCCTATGAGGTAATGTGCCTGATATGTATACAGTATCATTGTTCAGCTATGTGTGTGAATCAATATTTTCCTTTTTTTTTTTTTTGAGTTGGAGTCTTACTCTGTCACCTAGGCTGGAGTACAGTGGCATGCTGATGGCCACTTCAGGCTTGACCTGCTGGGCTTAGGCAATCCTTCCACCTCAGCCTTCCAAGTAGCTGGAACTATAAGGCGTGTGTTTCCATGCCCAGCTTATTTTTTGATTTATTGTAGAGACGTGGTCTCACCAAGTTGCCCAGGCTGGTCTCAAGCCCTTGGATTCAAGCAGTCCTCTCGCCTCGACCTCCCAAAGTGTTGGGATTATAAGCGGAGCCATTGTGCCCAGCCTGTGAATCAAAATTTTCATTGCTGTCTGAGATAACGTGCTGTGTCACACAGTCCAGTGTGAAGGCCATTTTCCTACACCAATCATGAGGCCTCATACTAGTTCTACTAACTTGGAGTTTCAGTGAAGAAAAGGATCCAACAATCTGTACTAATAAAGCTTCCCAGATAATTCAGACTTGTAGCTGGATTTGGGAACTCCTGGTTTTATTTATTAATTCAGTCCTTATTTGATGCCTCCACCCCAGGGCATTGCTACCAGGTAGGGATGATGGCTGTTGTTAAAGTAGAAGCTCATGATCACCCTGGAGTAATTTCCAGTGTAATCAGAGGACAAAGCATGCATCTATGAAACAACGTTGACCAATTCCAGAGTTATCTGAAAGTGGACCTTCCCAGATTTGACCGTCCTGAAGGAGTGGAGTTCAGGTACAGAGTAGGTTCACAGGAATAGACAGCCACATAGAACAGCCTCAACTCAGCAAATGTTTATTGAATAACTTCTTTCCTGTCAACTAAGGAAAGGTGTGTTTGATAGTGCAATTTTAAATAATACTCTTTTAATACAGTAACTCAAAGTAGTTGGTAAAACAACTAAATAGTCTTAGAACCTGTTTCTGTGAAAGATAAGAATCTTTTTTTTGGGGGGGAAAAGGGTTGGAGTCTCACTCTGTCACCCAGGTTAGTAGTACACTCACGGCCACCACAGCCTCAACACGCCTGGCTATTTATTTATTTAGAGTTGGAATCTCACTCAGTTGCCCAGGCTGGAGTGCAGTGGCATACTCATGGCTACCCCAGAGTTGACCTGCTGGGCTCGGACAATTCTTCCACCTCAGCCTTCCAAGTAGGCATGTGCTACCATGCCTGGCTAATTTTTTAATTTATTGTAGAGATGAAGTCTTGCCAAGTTGCCCGGGCTGCTGGTCTCGAATCTGTGGCCTCAGGCAATCTACTCACCTCGGCCTCCCAAAGTGCTGGGATTACAGGCTGAGCCACTGAGCCCAGCCTTAATTTTTTTGGATTTATTGTAGAGATGAAGTCTTGCCAAGTTGCCCGGGCTGGTCTCAAACCCCTGAGTTTAGGCAAATCTCTTGCCTCGGCCTCCCAACATGCTGGGATTACAGACTTGAGCCACCGTGCTGTGCTTTTTTTTTTTTAAAGTCAGTCTCACTGTCACCCAGGCTGCTTGAGTGCAGTGGCATGATCATGGCTCACTGAAGCCTCAAACTCCTGGCCTCAGGTGTTCCTTCCATTTCAGCCTCCCGAGTATCTGGGACTATAGGTAGATGCCACCGCCCAGCTAATCTTTTGATTTTTTTGTAGAGACAAAGTCTCACTGTGTTGCCTAGGCTGGTCTTGAACTCCTGAGCTCAAGCAATTCTCCCGCGTCTCCGCTTCCCAAAATGTTATGATTATAGGCATGAGCCACCACACTGGGCCTGATTTTTTTGTTTTGTTTTTGAGAGTTGGAGTCTCCCTCTTTGCCCAGGTTGGAGTGTAGTAAGTAGCACAATCACAGATCACTGAAACCTCAAACTCCTGGTCTTAACTGGGTATGGTGGCTCACTCAAAAAAAAAAAAAAAAAAAAAACTCCTGGGCTCAGGCAATCCTCCTGCCTCAGCCTCCTTCCTCAGTAACTGGGATCACAGGCGTGCGCCACCACACACAGCAGATTCCGGGTTTTTTTGAGTTGGAGTCTCACTCTGTTGCCCAGATTGGAGTGCAGTGGCATGCTCATGGCCACCACAGCCTTGACCTGCTGGACTCAGGTGATCTTTCCACCTCAACCTTCCAAGTAGCTGGAGCCACAGGGATGTGCCACCATGTCTGCCCGATTTTTTTATTTATGGTAGAAACAAGGTCTTGCCATGTTGCTCAGGCTGGTCTCGAACCCCTCAGGTAATCAATTCGTCTCCACCTCCCAAAGTGCTGGGATTACAGGTGTGAGCCACTGTACCCAGATAGATCCAGTTGTTAATGAGGGAGGTGTTATTAATTCTTGTGAAGGTATTTTTGTGCGTGGATTGTTGTTTGATTTGCTGCTGTTTCTTTGGGGAAATGAGCATTGTTGAGTGCTGTTCTACTACCTTGTCAACATCTGTCGCTATCTCTGAGAGAGATATTATTAAAAGGACAGAGGAACTTAAGAGCAACAGTTCCTCAGAAAGGGCTGGAGCCAGGACATAAAAGCCACCAGAAAGCCACAGACTCCTGCTGTCCTCCTGCTCTCTGTCCCCCTTCATTGTTTGTATCTTAGCTGGGAAGTCCCGTAGGCACTGAGCTGCCTTCCTTCTGCTCTCTTAGTTCCCCATCTGTTCTTGATAGAAGTGTCTTTTCTGTCTGTTCTGTCTGGTCTTTAGGGTAATGCCTTTTTATTTGAATTTTTAATTTTTTTTGAGTTGGAGTCTCGCTCTGTTACCCAGGCCAGAATGCAGTGGCATGCTCATGGCCAACGCAGCCTTGTCCTGCTGGGCTCAGGCAATCCTTCTGCCTCAGCCTTCCAAGTAGCTGGAACTACAGGTGCACACTACCACGCCTGGCTAATTTTTTGGTTTATTGTAGAGATGCAGTCTTACCAAGTTGCCCAGGCTGGTCTCGATCCCTGGACTCAGGCAGTCCTCTTGCCTTAGCCTCCCTAAGTGCTGGGATTACAGGCTTGAGCCACCATGTCTGGCTTAATTTTATTTCTAAGCAGTAAACTTAACATATAAAAGAGTTATAAAGTGATTACTGCATTTTTTTTCCTGCCCGTCCCTAGTTCCCCTTCCCAAGGTGATTGGTCTCTGTTACTGTTTTGTGCCAATACCTGCATATAGATGCAGGGAGGACTATAGTCTTCAAAACATGTACAGAGATGATACAATCCCTTTCCTCCTTGTTGCTGCTGTTCCTTCTACCTGCTCGTTCTGTTGTTCTGGCTTCCCGAGCACCTGTCAATGAAGGATATGCATAGGAAACATGTTTCCTACCATGTAGTGTCTGCTGAGAAGAGAGGTGAATTGTGCATCTGTGAAGAATTCAGGGTACCTGTGAGGTCGTGCAGGGATCAATGCAGGCATTTCCCCAGCTAAGGCAATCTCTGGGAGTTCTCATGAGACTTTAATTTAATTTTTTTTTTGAGTTGGAGTCTCACTCTGTCGCCCAGACTGGAGTGCAGTGGCCGCTCCCGGCCACC